GTAGCGCTAAGCTAGAGGGCAGGCAACACAGATGTGACTCCGCCCCCCTCCCCCTGACGTTGATACAAACCAGCAGCAACGTAGCACTAAGCTAGTGGGCGGACAACACAAAAGTGACTCCGTTCCGTCCTCATCTCCCCCATCAAAATAAGATACAATGAGCGCCCCTCCAAGGGAATTGATCTAGGGGAAACACTGTTCGGACCTACTGGGTCAAGGTTCCAAGTGAGTTGAAGATCTGACGTCAGCAGACTGCAGGACGATGATTGGCCGGAGAGCGACGTCAATCCCGAGAGCGTCTTTTTCACAAGAAGTAAATCCACCATTTCCAAAAGTTCCCAACCGCAGCGTTCATAGAGAGGAATGTTGGTTTGAGAGAGGAATGAAGGAGGCCATCTTTGTGAAGACAACCCATCCATCATTAAACAGGGGCGGAGCCTCCGTGTCCAACTGTCCCCCCTTACTGTTATTGCTAGTATCATTCAGCCCTCTGTGAATAGCAAGCAGCCATAAGGGGCACTAATGATCGTAATGATATTCTGATGGTCCTCCTTTATCATGTGAACAGCTAGTTCTGGATGTCACCATCAAACTGGTTGATCCACTATGAGGAGGAGCTATTTATAAGATTATTGCAGCTCCTCAGACTGAAGAAGTCTTGTGGATAAAAGACGAAACGTTTCAACAAGAAGAAACCATCCAGAGGAGCTGACTTTACTTTGGTAAAGCGTTCATATTTGTTAAGAAAATATATATAAATGATCAATTTTAATGGCAACACGTAAACTGACACCACGGCCTATGAGGATGTGCAGATGTTTTCTGGCTGACGACAGAATTCGGACGGAGCGAGACCAAACGGACCTGATTCTCGGGCTCCGAGTGGTGGAAGAAAAGGCAGCCTCGCCTCAGCATGGCTGTGTTTGCCTTGGATAGAAAATAATGTTGCAGAAGTTGTGAGCTATGTGATTCTGCCCATATTAAGGTGGCACTCAGTTTTTATGAGAAACCACTGACACCACGCTGTGGTGAGACCGGGCAAAGAAAAAAAACTTTTGTTCCAGCTATGACAGAGTTACTTGGGCCATACCTGGAGCTGGTGTTTTGAGTCAGGGGAACCAAGCCTGTGAATAATATTTTTTGACAAATTCAACATATATGGAGGTTTTATTTAGGCCTGTCACGATAACAAATTTTGCTGGGCGATTGTCTCAGAAATTATTGCGATAAACGATAATATTGTTCGACATTTGACAATAATTAGTAAATATTGTCAAATTTAAGAAGAAATGTTTGTTAATTTGTTTTGTGGGTAGTACCTTTTTTGACCATCAGATGGCAGTATAAGACTGTTTGAACTGAAGGATGGATAGTGAGGGAGCGAGCAGCGTGTCTCTTTAAGAAAAATGTAAGGGAGGCCCATTGACATGACATGGGCTGTCTCTCTTCGGTTCTCAAAATGGCGGACGCTCTGTGTGGTTTGAGCTCTTTAGCATAGCATTTTTCACACAAAGCTTTTAATAAAAAATCAGTAAACAAGCTCTACAACTTTTTACACGAAGGCACGAGTTTCAACCGTGAATTTTGGAGCTTAAACAAGACGGAGGTTTTTTTTCCCTGAGGTCGACCTATTAGCTTAGCTCGTAGCTTAGCTTCTCAGCTTAGCTGCTTTTAATGATCCAAAAACATGATTTTGGATGATTAAAATATATTTTTAAGAAAGAAAGGGAGGGGTCAGTGAAGACTTCTGTTGTGACTTGGTGCTATATAAATAAACTGAATTGAATTGAATTGAAGAGCAAAGGATTTGAGCTTTTTGTCATCCAGTGTCTTCAGTAGAAAGAGAGAGACACGAAGAAACGATAACGCCGATAAATGAAAATGAGGTCGATAATTTTAATTTGCCGTGCGATTAATTGATTTATTGTTTATCGCGATAGGCCTAGTGTCATTCATGAAGTATTGATAAGGAGAGTCCTGGAATTATAACATTTACAAGACAAAAACAAAAATTAAGTTCACGTTTTAGAAAATGATGAAAAAAAAAGTTTTTTTTTTAATTTACCAGAGCTCATGAGAAGCACGGCCTGCAGCAGCGCCACTTCTGTATCGTCCAGGTTGAACTGCGCCAAGCTTTTGCCCAAATCAAAGATGGCGTCCGACACCACGCCCAGCCCTCCGTTCTTCAGCTGCTCGCGCTTCACTGCCATCTCGCCGCTCAGCGTCAGCGTCTCGCTCTCGGGGTCGTAGCGGATGGCCGCTCGCAGCGACATGATCTCCATGCAGCAGCCCTTTAACAGGATGATCTGGTCTTCACAAGGCAGCTGAGGGACAAAAACAAACGTTTGTGTTTTTCTCAGGAAACTTCAGCTCATTCTGAAAACGGCAGCCTTGATCTTTAGCTAACTCGTGCTGCTCGGGGTCACCTGTTGTCCAACGTAACCAGTACAAGAAGAGGAGTCATCCATAATACATGTTCACTGAGACTTGTGTTTCTAAATAAAAGGAGAGAGAATCTACCAGCCTCTTGTTTTGTGCAAAGACATAAAAAACACTCATTTTGAGTTTCTTCCATTTATTCAGGCTTTAATCATGGAGATAAAACTGGCGTGTGCCGGTATGAGATTCTGACGGCATAACTTCGAGCAGCTCCGATGTATTAAAACAAACATTTAAAACCAAGATTTTCTTTTATTTCAAAATGGAATACAAATTTTACACCTCAGAGACCGAATGTTTGTAGATTTCGAGGTATGTTTTTCTGGACTGGAATTGAACCAGTAAACCTACAGTAAATGTTTTTGATGAAGCGAGTTATGCTGTGGAGAAGAACAGAGGTTTATTTCTTGCTTGTCCGAGGCAGCGCAGAGTGACGGATCCCGGCGAGGGGAGGGAGAAAAGTATCCACTACCAGGCGCAGTGACGGAGCCGGGGGGTGGCCATTGGTGGCCACCGTAGAGTAATCTTCAGCTTCCCCAATCATTTGAGGAAACTATACTTTTGAGCAAAATAAAAACTAAAAGTTATAGTCTCTTCAAAAGATTGGGGTGGGCGGTTTACATTTATATGGAGGTAGCCATCTTGGATTCTGAAGTGGCAACCCAGTTTTAGACCTTTCTTACGCCTGCACGCAGTCACACACCAAAATAGAAATGAGGAATTCACTTAAATTTCAAGTTGTCAAGTTCACAACATGGACGGATGGACAGACTGAGGACAGTTCCAAATCCAGCTCTTCACTCCGTGAGGGGGGGGGACAAAAACACAACAAACTGATCATGACTATTTTATGAGATGAAATTTTGGGGAAGTTTTTCATTGGCTACAGCGCACATCTGTGTGACAGCTCAGAGCAACGAGTCCAATCACAAAGAAGAGAAAGAAAAAAAGCCATCTCTTTGTTTCCTCCTTTTGAAGCATTAGAGCAGGGGTGCCCACACTCTTTCATCCTGTGAGATCCTTTTAAAATGACCACGTCAAAGTGATCTACCTGCTATACTGTAAGGCCCCGTTCACACAAGAACAACCTCTGGATACATTGGTAGTTTTTCAATGTTTATTGGTAATAAACAAAAAATGAGTGGGTTTACACAAAAAACGCTGTAATTTTCATGTCAGTCGGGTTGCCAGATAAGAAATTATGAACTATAGTACTGTGGTTTTAAAATGACAGTATTTTGACCTAAACTGTCACATGTGCTGAGTAAAGATATTCTAAGATGAGGTGTGTGTTGTGTTTGTTGAACATGTGCACAGAAAAGGAGGGGTAAATAAAACATTTTAAATTTATCTGGCAACCCTGATGCTGGACTCAGCCGCATTCATTGTTCATGCAGCATCTGCATGACAGTTACGTCTCTTTGGGGCCTGGATTTTATTAGTTTTGCTCCTTCATGCTGAAAAAGGGTGAGAAGCACAAAAACACTCTGCCGTTTATTATAACTGTTGTTATTTATTATAATTGTTATTTATTATAACTGTTATTATTTATTATAATTGTTGTTAAATGTATTATAACAATTGTCATTTATTATAACTGTTGTTATATTTATTATAACTGTTATTTATTATAACTGTTGTTATTTAATATAACTGTTGTTATATTTATTATAACTGTTGTTGTTATTTATTATAACAGTTGTCATTTATTAAAACTGCTGTTATTTATTATAACTGTTGTTATATTTATTATAACTGTTGTTGTTATTTATTATAACAGTTGTTATTTATTATAACTGTTGTTGTTTATTATAACTGTTGTTAGTGCAGAAAAACTTTGGACTGCAGCCGCCTGTAGTGTGCATGTGCAACTTCACAATTGGAGCATTTCACACCTCTGTGGGGGGTTCCCCCAAAAATCTCCACTCTGAGACGTGGACTCAGAAACCTTGAGGGCTGTCGTCTGTAAATGAACGGCCGAATGTTTCACGTCGTGTAAACGGGGCCTCAGACTGGCTGCCCTGCCTGTCAATCAAGTGACAAATTATATAGATGGATGATCGGCTGACGTCTACTCTTTTAATGCCATGCCGTCTACCCATAGTACCTTTGCGATCGACGTTTTGGGCACCCCTGATTTAGACAAATTGAATGGTGCAAATATATTTTTAGTGGTTTTGACACTGTAGTAGGCCTTAAACCAGTAACCAGCCCACATTACCAAAGAGTTTAACAAAGAACAAGAAACCGAACGGTAAAATGTCAGGAAGACAGATGTGTAGAAGAGAAAGATAAGGAGGAAAACAGATTAACTGCAGAAAAAAAAACACATTTGTTTCCTCTAATGAGCACAGATTATTTCTAACCCTCCTGATTTCCATGAATATCAGACTCTCTCTGTTAAAACCCTTTTTAATAAATGTGCAGAAAGTGTGAGCTGAATTAATCCAACCTTGATTTAAACTCCTCTCCTCGCTCCCGATGGCCGAACAGATTAACTGGCGTTAATTTGTTTCACTAAACTAAACTCTTATAATTCATCTGCAGCTGCATCAACAGCAACAGACTCAGGTTTAGTGGCTAAATGAGCGCGCTGGCTTTATTTCTTTTATCAGCCGAAGGGTGCAGCAGCATGAAGAGATCTCATGTAAGCTAAACAGGTTCTCTAATCTTTCATCAGATTAAAAACGGCTCATTTTATAGTGTTATCTCATATATCAAGTCAAGTCAAGGTTCTTTACTGTCATTCTCATCATATGTGGTACATGTAATGTAATGGAATTTTGTACACAGGGTTCCAGTAACAACAAAAGTATAAATTGTAAAAGAAAAACAGTAATAAGTAATATACTGGGAATATAAGACATCACAAAGGTGATTAAGTGTCTCCTCATCTAAGCTGAATATTTATCTAAAAGCTATTAATGACGTTACATAAGTAACATGTAAATATTAACACAATAGCAATGTGAATGCTTACTGCAGAAGAACTTGCTGAAAAACAGCTAAGACTAGCTAAAATAACATGGTGAAATGTAGCTGAAATGAAAGAACAAGCCTAAATTAGCAGAAAAAATCTGAAAAAACACATTTTAGATTAATTAGTTTTAAATAAGCAGACATGAGCAAAAAAAAAAAAAAAATAAAAAAAAAAAAAATTAGGATATCAGTTAAAAAAAGCTAAAATTAGCACAAAACTTCTAAAAAGTAGCCAAAAAGGCAGAAAGAAGCTTAACCTATGATAAGGATGTGAAAAGAGCTGAAATGAGCTAAAAAAAAAAAAAAAAAAAAAGTGGAATTAACTGAAAAAGCTACAATTAACATAAAACAGCTAAATAGTAGCTGAAATAGTAGAAAAAGTTGAAACTAGCTGAAAAAAGCTGAAAGGAGCACAACAAGCTGAAATTAGCAGGAAGAAGTTAATTAGGCTAAAACTTGCAGGAATTACAAAGAAAACTTGAATTTATCTGAAAACAGCTGAAATTAGCTAAAATATTTCTAAAAAAGTAGCTGAAAAGATAAAACAAGCTTAGATTAGCAGAAGACAGTAGAGAGAACATGTTAGCCCAATTAGACTGAAAGAGGTAGAAATTAGCACAAAAAAAGTAGAAATTATCTGAAAAAAGCTGAAATGAGAAAAAAAAACAGCTGTAAAGTAGCTAAAAAAGCTGAAAGAAGCTGAAATTACAAGATGGAAGTGGAACGAGCAAAATTTTGTTGAATTAGAGTAAAAAGGTTTAACTAAGAGCAAAAAATGTGGAATTAGCTGAAAAAGCTTAAATTGCCATAAAAACAGCTATATAGTAGTAGCTGAAATAGTAGAAAAAGCAGAAAGGAGCACAACAAGCTGAAATTAGCAGAAAGAAGTTCGAAGAAGCAAAAAAAGTTGTAGTTGGCAGAAAAAATCTGAACGGAGCACAAAACAGCGGAAAAACAGCTAAAGGTAGCTGAAAATAACTGAAAAAATGTAAAATTTGCAGAAGGAAGCTGAAAGAAGCTGAAGCAGAACAAAACGTGAAAGGAGCAGTAAAAGGCTGTAAACTGACATAAAGATTTGAAGGAGGTAAAATGAGCTCAATTCATTTTCTATGAGGAGAAAAATGTCAGAAAAGACTAAATATTTCAAAAAGCTAAAGTTGCACCAAGAACAAAAGTCATCGCAGGATTGTCCTGAAAGAGCTGATTTATGATTTGTTAAAATAGCTTGAACACTGTGGGACGAGAATCGCGCCAAAAAACGTACGGAAGAAAAAAATGGATCACAACAGAGCGAATGCTTCATAAATATATTCACAATAATTTTAATTTTACATCTGCTGATTGAAAAAGTGGCACTTCGATTTATCTCCCTGAACACTTCAGTGGATTACGTTCGCAACTTTTTCCTCTCCGATGATTCATGTTGCTGCAAACTCCTGCTCGTCGACTGCGGCGGTCCCCAAGGACCATAACTCAGCCACCCAGATAACTCTCCGATCACACGCAGCCTCATTACGAGCAGCCGAGATGAGCCGTCTTCACGGAAAGCACCAAAGGAAGCTCCCGGGTTTGTTTGAGAGCTGAACGCACTCGAGGATCCAAAGCAGCCAGAATGTGTTAGAGGTCAGATCTGACGGTTTTACAGCGTTCAGTTGATTTTAATCTCACCTCAGAGAACATGGGCAGTTTTTTGGCAAAGTCGACGACGCGAGTGATGGCCGGGGTGATGATCTTGGTGAATTCGCTGAAGGCCTCCAGGTCCACCTTGTCTCCGTCTGACGTAGGAGCGACCGGAGACTGGCCGATTTTGTCCGGCTGCAAGGGAAAAGACAGACGCTGATTAGAGCAGCGTGGTGAATCAAATCAGACAAAACAAGACGAAACGAAGAGGACAACCCTAAATGTTTAAATCACCTTCCTTCGTTTTATAATCTTTAAGTCTGTCCAGTTTCTTCCACATTCACTCGTAACTTTGTGATATAAAAATGAAGCTTCTTCACTTTTTTCCCTTGCTCGCTCGCTCTCGAGAAAGACGGATGCTTTTTCTTCTCTCTGTCTTTTGTATCGGAGCTTCTATTTACACATCTTCTGAATCGTAAATTACTGTCATGGATCTGGTCAGCTGGACTTTCAACGCAATTGATAAAAATTTTTTAACCAGGGTCTTGGAGAACCCTCATGCCCCGCTGAGACGCACGAGGCAGGGGACGTCATGGATACGTTGCGCCTTTCTGTATTGTCTGAGGAGGACGCCGAAGACCATTGGATTTATGCTAACAGGGTTTCTGCTTTTTGGCACCGTTGGATACCTATGTTATCGGCTATTAAGGAAGACGGCGACAGCAGCTTCGGCCACGGCAAAACTGCCGACCTTATGCGAAGGATCAGTTCGTGCTTCGAGCTCTCAGACTCAGCTGATTTACGAGCTCTACCATAAGATGGAAGCGATTTATGAGAATCGTAGGCCACTTGCGGCTTTGGAACTCGCCAGCATGTTGGGGTCGACCTTGGAGGAAGCTATAAGCACGGACCAGTGGAAAGCCCACACATCTGGCCATTTTGGATCGAAAGTACCAGCAGAACTCAAGGCTGACGAGAAATAACAGTCTGCCTGAAAAAATTAACAATTGTGGATTATCGGAATCGGACTCCCCCGTTGGGCCTCGAAGCAGGTCGACTTATTAAATTTCTCCTGGGATATGTGTTAACTAAGAAGGCTCTGCTCCGTCCATCCCCCACACAACCCCCCACCCCCGAGAACTTCTGCGAACACTTATCAGAACTGTACCGGTTGACACCAACATCTTATCAGGACTATGGCGCTATCTGGAAGTGCTTCCTGGATAAATGTCACCGTCTTGTCGTCAAATGCACAAGTAACGTGTTTATAAATGTGCTGCTAGTAGAGTTTTTTGATGTCTTAAGGTGTGAAGGGATCTTTTTTGTTATACCACTATCCTTTCCTCATGGCCTTTCCCCTTTTCTATGTAAAGAATAAGGGGCCACGCTCCTAGGAGCTGCAGCCATGTGCACTCCGCCCATCTTTCAGACAACTGTACGGAATATAATCTTGCTGTACTTCAGTGCAATGATAATAAAGCTTATTCTGATTACATCAAACAGTTTCCATTTTCATTCAACCTTTATTCCGACAGGTGAATCCCATTGAGCTTCGAGGGCTCATTTACAAGAGAGACCTGATTTCATCTGCAGGTTATCAACTCCACATTCCTTCAAATTCTTCCTAGTTTTGCTTTCACTGGTTTTTACTCTTTATTAAGGTCAATCACCTTTCGTTTCAGCGTTGAAAGTAAAAATATTTATAATAAGCTTAAAGGCGTTTTCACTTCACATGTTGTGTTGTATGTTATCATCATGTTAGTAAATGTCAGACCTGAAAAAGAGCCACGTCGGCTCTTCAAACAACCATTCACTCTCTCACTCTCACCTAGGGACAATTTAGTTACCAATCAGCCAATCAATGCATGTTTTTGGTCTGTGGGAGGAAACTGGAGCACCTGGAGAAACACAGGCGACAGAGGGGGGCTAATTGTGGCCAAGCCCACCATAGATTAATCTTTGGTCACCCCAGTCATTAAGGGAAACTATACTTTTAAGAAGTATATAGAAACTAAAAAGCATGGGGTGGCCAGTACATATACAGTGTTTGCCCTACTTTACCTGCACGCTCATCTCGCTTGGGAGACGGCTCAACATGAGGGAATTGGAGCGCTACCTAGCTTTTTAGCTGACATGCCTGTATTGTGCGCCGCTAGCTTAGCACTGTTGGTGGGGGGAGGTCAGTAGGAAGGGCGCTCGGTTCTGTTGGTTAGGGTTAGGGGTGCCCTGCTTGTATAATGGAAGGGAAACACTGATACAAAGTTGGAAGTCGTAACCTGCCTGATTGTCCAAGTTATGAAGCTCACAAGATGCACCGAACAAACGGAGGGCACGTCTTCTCTCAGCGACGGGGGACAAAAATAAAGGGCGCGTAAAGAGTGCCGCTCAAACATAGACCCAGTGAGGGAGCAGGACAGCATGACGAGGACAAACAGAGCAGCAGCAAAATAAAAAACATATTAGCAGCGCCATGAATATCTGGCCTCCAGCTTTGTGCTCGTCTGCTGCGATCACCGAAGGAGCCACGCTCAGATCGGTCCTGCAGGTCGTGGAGAACGAACCCAGGTCAAACTACAGATTTATAGAGTTGTGCGAGTTGACGGGCGACTATGAATAATATTATTCCACACTTGAGTGAAAAAAAGCATGCGTCAAAGCCATCATCATTTACTCGAGCTGAGCTCCAGCCATGGGTGGATAAGACAACAGCATAAAAAAAAAAAGATCCTCATACAGTAAGTCATCAATCATAAGACTCAGAGGTGGATTACCTAAATCAGTGCAAACTGAGACAATCCTCCACTGTGTGAGCGATTGTGGAAAATTTAAATATTGCAGCGATGACGGTGATGGATGCAACTCTTGCTGTACGGGAGCCAAAACTAAGCACAGCTTTTATTAATGAAGGTCAGCGCCATTTATCATCCTACTGTTGAGAAAATAGCTGCTGAGGAGCCGAGGTTCACGACTGTTGGATGCGCCTCCACAATGGATTACAGGCCAGACAAATACAACCTCAAACTCATATTTTTAATTATTTAATGTTTTTTTTTTTTTCAGGCTACAATTGGCAGAGGCTCTTTATTCTGATAAAATGTAACGTCGCTGTAAAGAAAACCTCACGTTTGCAAATTACACACCAACCTTGGGAATAGATTTTGTTGTGCAAATGTTCTAAGCAGCTTAATTTCTGCAATGATCAACAATTAAACTATTGAATTAGAGGCAGTATTCAGGGTCCATTTGACCCGTTTGTGCAAATCAGTACAATTTATTTTGACTAAATTTTCAGATGAAATTCATTCAACCTTTATTTCTATAGGTTAGTTTCATTGAGTCACGAGGACTCGTTTACAAGAGAGACCTGATTTAAACAAAAAACACAGATGAGGTACACACAACAATAAACAGCCATAAAATAATACTGATAGGTGCTATGAGTTGTTATCACTGCATGTTCCCATACAATGGCGAAATTAGTTCTCTGCATTTGGGCAGCTATGTAAGTGCCCGGGGAGCAATTAGGGATTGGGTGTCTTGCTCAGGCTGAGGTTCGAGCCTGGGACTGTCAGGTCCCAGGTCAGCTGCCCTACCTCTACTCCATCTCGGCCCCTTGCATATAAAATAAAAAGTAAATAAAGGTAGTGATATAAAACAAACAAACAAACAAACAAACAAACAAAAACCCAGCTACATTATGAATCGATGTAAAATACTAAAAACAGGAACATGTCTGCACTGATTTTTGCATTGAACTCAACAATTGTTTAAAATCCCTTAGAGGTCAAGGTTGAGAGCTTCAGATCTTTTTGCAAGATGTTCCAGGTCACAAGGAGCGGAGTAAAAGAAGGCGCTTCTGCTAAATTCAGACCACACTGAGGGGACGTTGCAGGTAATGATGTCCTGAGAGCGCACGCTGTAGCTGCACTCATGAAGTGACATGTAGGAGGAGATGTATGAAGGCAGCAGACCAAGAATTTAAAGATGAAAATGTACCAGTGAGAGAGTCTGCATGAAGCCAATGGTGACCAGTTAACCAGTGAATACAGGGTGCAGTGATGGGTACGGTAGTTACAGCCAGTTATGAATCTTAGTGCACCGTGATAGACAGCAGCTAACATCTGCAGGGTGCTTGTAGGAGCGTTCATGTAGATAATGTCACCGTAGTCAGTGGAGGGACGGAAAGTAGCAGCTACAAGAAGATAAGCAGATGCTGCAAGTTAGCAGCTAAACGAGCAGCAAGAAGATCAAACCTTGTAGCTACACCCTGGGCAGGGAGCAAGCTCCCCTCTAATCGGACAGTTAAACCGCAAACAAGGGACCTGTGGTCAGGTTAAAGCGAGGTGAAGTGCAAAAAGATTAGGGCAATGAGAGCACGCTGCATGTTTATAACCCAGGAGGGCGGAGCCTCCTGGGTATGCAGCAGTCTCATTTGCCTTGATAGACGTGTTGAAAAAACTTCTTCAGGTTAGTCTCGCGAGGGCGCAATCCCCATACTCATGTGTTGTACCGAGTGCACTGACCGAAAGGGAACCAGTTTTAATTTCAGCTTCTTTATTTTTAATGTGCGACTTAAAGAGAGATGTGCATCGACCAAGACTCCCAAGTATTTGTAAGAATCGACAAACTCAATAGGGACACCATTTGTAGATGAGATAGGAAGGACTGCTGGGACAGACTTCCTGTTTGAAAACAACATCCCTTTGGTTTTATCAGCATTTAGCACCGGCTTGAGATGAAACAAGTCAGTCTGGATGATGCTGAATGCAGACTGTAAAACTTTAGCAACTGTTCTAGCTCGACAATAAACGACTGTGTCGTCGGCATAGAGATATAAGGATGCATCAGGGATGATCTGAAATGCTTACAATCTGATTGAAGGAGCCGCTGCTTCCATTCAAATGGTCTCAAAGGCAATTTCTCTAATCAAAACTCTTAATAAGGGATGGTTTTTTTTTAATAAAAAGGGGTTTTATAACTAAGAATTAAAGGAGACTTATAAAAGTTATCACATGGTGACCGAACGCCACAAAAAAACACTTCATGTTAAGTTTTTCTTTAATTTCAGGACCTAAGTTGTGTTAATTTGGGGTGTATCAACTATTCAAATGTAAGAAAAATAACCATTATTGTAAAAAAAAAAAAAAAAGAAAAACTAAAGACATTACGTTCTGAGTGGATGACATCTCAGTTTGGCTCCACGACGGTGACATTTATGAGCAAAGGTTGTGAAACTATCACCGACTTGTGTGTGTTTCTTTCAATTTTCAGCCAATTACAAAAAATGTCTCGACGCTAATGGAGCTCAGCTATGTGAGGAATTTTCTAATAAAGTTAATCCCAACTCCAAAAAGACCACTTCGCCTCCTGAGCTTCAGTACTTCCACAGACCACCCAGTCAGACCAGGGTTCTTTAATTTTTCTAAACGAACACAGAAGATAGACTTCCGCTGAATCTTGGTAAACTTTGGGAATTGATAATTGATGCAACGTCGACCCGTAGAACCTGACCTCCACTGTTTATCTTCAGTTCAGGAACGTTTGCTTTTGTTCTGGATATTCTTTAAATATTGTGACTGAAAGTGAAACTGCTTTGCCAGATACAGAGATTTTCAGCATTCAAGCTCAGATTTATTCCAGAAGAATTCACCAGTGACATTTTCCCCAATAACACACAGACGTCTGACCTTCAGGTTGTTTTTATTTCTTTTTATATGCATGACAGAAACTAAAACCCAACGTAAAGTACAATGAGCTGCACAACACGATAAGATCTCCTCATGAGAGTAAAGCTGCAGGTACGAGGCTTAAAAAGCAGACGTTTTGACCGAACAGCTGCGTTCAACTCGATCCAGATGTCGGCCGTGCAGCCGATCCCACTTGTTTCTGTTTCTAATTGCAAAGTTTGAAAACGACTGAGATCCTGATGAGCTGCTGAGACCAACATCTCAAAGTTCACAAGTTTAGGACCCATCCAAAAAGGGAGATTTGTGGGAGCTGCAGCTCAGCGGGGAGGATTTATGCTTCGCATGGTCTCAAAAGCTGAGGGGGAAACGAAGCGAACGGCGTGTACGAGCATGCACAACCAACACAAAGTGCTGAAGACTTCCTCTGTGTGATTGATTTGTTTTTACATATTTGTGACTGATAACATCGACTGGATGCTGCGTCTGAGGAATGCAGTTTAACAACGTGAAGTTTTGGACTCTTAATTCAACTTAGTTAACTACTTTAGTTTAGGGAGTAATTCCCGTAGTGGAATCATTCTGTTAGGGAAAGATTCTTGAGAGGAGAAAAACTGTGTTTCAAGAAAAATAAAAGGTTACAGTACTTTCCGCCGTACCCATCACACCAGTCCAAATATGTCCAAAAACGTGGAAAAATCCATAAATGTGTCGCTTCGCCGTATATGTCGCATCTATTATGCGTCACTGCTGACAACCTGAAAATGTGGGACAAACTTGGAATTGTGGGCTGGTGTTGTGCAAAAAAAAAATCGATGGGCTGCCAAATGGCAGCCACGGGAGCGTGCACAGGAGGACTTTAACAACAACTTAACAAGATTAACACAATTATTTGTTTGCTCAAAATTATTAGGTGTGTCTCAGTTGAACTTTTACTTAAGAAATGCACTTTAATGGTCAAATTAGCCGCATTTCTCCGGGGCAGTGCAGCTGATTTGGCGGTTGCTCCAAGCAGCGAGCAGAACGAAGGTGGGAGGACTATGGCAAGCCGATTGTGTCATTAATAGCTGGTGAAGATTCTCAATAATCCAGGACATGGTAAATTCAAAAAAGTTCAAGACAAAAACAATAAAGTATAAAATATAGTAAATAAAGTCCAGTTGTTTTTGTCTTGAAATTGTTTGAATTTGTCATTATAGTCACTTTTACCTATTACATGATACAACGGCATGCCCTACTGTTACTACTACTCTGCTGCCATCAAGTGGCTGAAAATGATACTGTTCAAGTTTTTTTTTTTCAGTCAGAATGAATAAAAACGGTCATATCTCAGCCAAAATTTGATTTGCACACATGGGAAAAAAAAATAATCCATAAATACGCATGTGAATTATGCAAAAAACTGCAACTTACATGCTAAAAATTACGGTAAGCAAGAATTCCAGTGTGTAAAATGTTTCGGTTCAAAAACCATTCCAGCGAGGAAAACAATTCTGTCAAGGAAGGATTCCTTTTGGGAAAGATTCCAGAGTGTGTATTTTTTTTATATGGTAAAAATCCCCATGGAAAACATTTTGTAAGGGAAAGATTCAGTCCCCACATTAACAAAAAATGCTTTTGGGAGTGACTTATTTTTCTACATATTTTCAAAAACAAAACATCCTGATATCTGCGTGTGAGTGGAGCCCCCTAGTGGTCGGCCACAGTATGAGTGTTTGTTGCGCCTCAGGTCGCCTGGTCAACTCGGGTGGGAGCGACAAACAGGAAACGGAGGCGTGGAAGAGACAAACTACCTACGACCACTCGTCTTTTGCTTTATTGTGTGGAGCTGGGAGATAATCAACTAGTTTCACTCGGAAAGAAAGTCAAGCCCAAATAAACAACTTCACGTTCAAAAACAAGCCCAAAAAAAAAACGCAACTCACAAGATTTGCAAGCGACTTTAGGAAAAAACAAGCCCAAAGTCGCTTATAACAAGTGGACTTGGCAACACGGCCTGTTGTGTGTCTCTGCTCTGCTGTGGCAGACAGTCTTGAAGGGAGACTGGAGGGGGCGGGGCCTGTCTTTCCCCGTCGCTGCTGTAGGAGCTTGAGTGTGGCGGATACCACAGTGAGCAGCATAGATTGTTTATTTAAAATAATCAAGCGCGACCCGAACCGAGCCGGGAAATGTCCCGGTGCTCCCGATGACCAGTCCGCAGAAATGTCCTGGTTGACTCAGTAACCGTAGCATCAGTCTGTCTGCTCTCTTTCAGAGCGTTTAGAAAGTTTAGAACATTAAGAACATTGCAAGAGTGTAGGAAGGTTTTATAAAACCTTAAAATATATAAATACTAAAATAAATATAACGTCCCTACTTTATGGATTTTCACCTATCGTGGGGGTATCTGAAACGTAACCACCCACGAAGGGTCAGGGACTACTGTAATACAACTGGTGGAAAGATTCAGTTGGGAAACAATTCTTGTGAAAGAAAGATTCTGTTATGAAGGATTCCTGTGAGGAAAAAAGTATTTTTGGTAAAAAGTACTGTGAGGGTATATATTCTGTCAGATAAATATTTCTGTTGGGAAAAGATTCTAGAGTGCAATATCATTATGTTAGGGGAAAAATTCTAATTAGGAAGACATTTTTAGTAAAGAAGGATTCTGTGTTCATTCCCACATAAACAAAATGTAATATTCAGAGTAATTATCATGGTGGAAATATAGTGTGTACAGTTCATAACTTTTATAGACAGAATTTACTGATGCAGCCAGGGGGGGAGGTATGCTGGTTCGGTTTCAGGATTCATCTCTGCTCTTTGCAGATGATGTGGTCCTGTTGCCGTCATCGTGCCGTGATCTTCAGCTCTCACTGGAGCGGTTCGCAGCCGAGTGTGAAGCGGCTGGGATAAGAATCAGCACCTCCAGATCTGAGGCCGTGGTCCTCAGTTAGAAAAAGGTGGATTGCTCTCTACGGGTCGAGGGTGAGGTTCTGCCTCAAGTGGAGGAGTTCAAGTATCTCGGGGTTTAGTTTACGAGTGAGGGAAGAATGGAGCGTGAGACTGACAGACGGATTGGTGCAGCATCTACAGTATTGTGGACTCTGTGCTGTCCGTTGTGGTGAACAGGGAGCTGAGCTGTAAGACAAAGCTCTCCGTTTACTGATCGGTCTACGTTCCTACCCTCACCTATGGTCATGAGCTCTGGGTAGTGACTAAAAGAATGAGATCGTGGATACAGGAGGTTGAAATGAGTTTCCTCTGCAGGGTAGCTGGACTCTCCCTTAGAGACAGGGTGAGAAGTTCAGTTATCAGGAGAGACTCGGAGTAGAACCGCTGCTCCTCCACATCAAGAGGCGCCAGTTGAGGTGGTTCGGGCATCTGGTAAGGATGCCCCCTAGGCGCCTCCCAAGGGAGGTGCTTCGGGCATGTCCAACTAGGAGGAGACCCCAGGGAAGACCCAGGACACACTGGAGAGACTACATCTCTCGGTTGGTCTGGGAACGCCTTGGGTTCCTCCCAGAAGAGCTGGAAGAGGCGGCTGTGGAACAAGATGTCTGGACTTCCCTGCTCAAGCTGCTGCCCCCGAGACCTGACTTTGGAAAAAGCGGAAGATAATGGATGGATAGATGGATGGATGGATGGATGGATGGATGGAATAGAGTGGTGTAGAGTAAAACTCTGTTAGGCACATTACTGCAGGGAGAAAGATTCTGTGTTCCCAAAACCACATTATCGAACAACAAGAAGAACTGTACGATGTATAACAGCTCATGTTTTAGCTTTAATCCTGACTTCAAGGTTCTTTATTGTCATTCGCATCACATGTGGTACACGAGGTGGAACGAAATTATGCACTCAGGCTCAGTTACACCCAGAAACAAAGTATAAAAAGAAACAGTATATAAGGATCTAAGATATACGCTAAACACTAATAATGTAAAATAATACGGTGAATTAAACAGCAGCCCGAACATGAGTCTGTAGTGAGTAGATGGGTATGAATGACATAAGAGACTTGAGGACTTTTTCCTTTTTGTGTTATGAACAGAATCTTTTACCAAATGTCACACATAATGAATTTATTCCTGACTATTGAAATCCTCTCCTTCGGGCACAGAAAAACCAATAAAACAATTTATTTTAAAAATACACACATTTTTTTTTTCTGCCACGTTTTCTTACCAGGAATTTACGTTTCTGTTTCCACTGCGAGCCCTGAGCGTTGGTGTGCCGGTGGGCCTCCGTCACATGGCGGATCAGGTCCCACTCGGCCCCAGTGGGTTCTGGACGGGTCTGGAGGGATTTTACGATCTCCTCCTTTTTGCGCTTCTCCCTGTTCTCCTCGATCAGGCGCCGTTTAGCCACCCGCTTCGAGTCGTCCAACACCACTGGGAGGAGAAGGGAAACGAGCGGAGTGAAAAATACAAACGGCAGCTTCTGTGTGATTTTCAGGGATAATCAGAGACGACGCTCACAGTCCATCGCCATGCCCACGGCGATGCACTTCTTGAAGCGGCACAGCTGACACTGGTTGCGTGTGATCTTGTCGATGATGCAGCAGCCATCGTACTTGCAGGAGTAGCTGGGGTGGAGGTTCTTCTGAATGGTCCTACGAAAGAAACCCTGCAGGCAGAATGAAAAGCAGAAGGAGATGAATGGACGCTTCAGGCACGGTGACAGTCTGCGACGTGCTGACGGCGACCGGGGAAAACTGCAGAGGCAGACGTCAAAGTGATGAAGGAGCAGAAGGGGACAAGCAGAAATGAAAATGTCAAATCCAACATATTATGTTGCATTTAATAAAGACAAGAAGGATCAATGCTGCCAAATGCCCCTAAAAATGAACCGTTCCCATATTTGTAACTTAAAAGTGGCCTCTCTGATTAAACTGATAAGAAACACATTTGATTCAGTACTTTTAAAAGTTCAAGCAAAGCTGTTTATAGATGATAAATGATGCAGGAAGCTTGGTGAGCTGTGATTCTAACAAGAGACTCCTGTTCTCCTTCAGGCTGGTATGTTTCACAATGACCCAAAAACAGAGAATCCATTATTAATCAGAATTTAAAAGCTGTGACCAACAGCTAAGAGGAAGTGATGCCCGTTGCACGGCTGCAGTAAACAAAGGCGTTTTAACGTCCAACAAGAGTACAGCGTACGGCACATTATACGCCCGTCGACAAACTGTTACACAGCAAACTATAGCATGGGCCTTGTTTTAACTTTGACCTTGATTTGTGACCTTTGAAAGTTTACGGACGCACGTACGGAGACTATACGATAACACGTCCGCCTGTTGATGGACGTGTAAAAAAGTGACAACCCTTGAACAATCTGTTACAAACTTTTAGACGTTTTGTAAGAAGGTTTCTAAAAACAGCAGGTTATCACAAGAACACACGGCAGACATAAGATCAACGGCAGTTCTACTTCCAGGTGTTCCTCTGCTCGTTGGTTCTGAGTGTTTTCTAGAAATGTTCCTGTACAGGAAGGAACGAATTCAAGAAGTCGACATGTACTCAGTTGGTGACCGTTCTTTCATTTAGTAAATATAAGCAACAGGTTATAATATTCATCCCTCATTTGTTATGATCTCTAGTCCACACGCTACAGTAGTCCCTCGCTACTTCACGGTTCGACTTTCACGGACTCGCTCTATCGCGGTTTGTGGACGTACAGTACTGTACATGATATTTAAAAAAAAAATAATAATAAAAAATAAAAATAATATATATATATATATATATATATTTATATATATAATGCATTACCATTTTGTAGTTTTATTTCATTAAGCCTTCACAGTTTTGCTAATCTAAAGAACTACGTTACCCAGAAGCCATGAGTTCACTTCCCAGAAGTCAACACTGCTTCCAGCCGCTGCTTGCTGCAAATGGAGGGAAAAAGTTTTGCAGCAAAGTCAGAAGTTCTGTCAGGACAAGCTCACAGAACTCAAATAATTCTGAAGCTGAACTCGTCCTTCAAGTTGTATCTTCACTGCTGAGTAGCTGGGCTGCAGCTGATCTGGACTCGGTGTGACCCGGATCCTGGGAGCTGCAGGGATCAGCCTGTTTCTGATCGAGTGGTGCTGGTCTGGACTGGGCCAGAGGTGGCGGACTAAATCCTGGGCAACCCTGCGCGCGACGTGTCCTTCCTGGACCAGCAGCATGCACACAAGCTGCACCGGGACTTTTTTCATCTATCGGGTCGGACGGAATCGAGCTGCTGTTGTTCAGCAGAGCTGGTAAGTAAAATTTAGTAGCTACATATAAGTATCTTGTTAAAATGATTAGGTTTAAGAGTTTAGAGGACTGATTTGTGGGCTTCATGGTTGCAAGATAGTCTGCAGAAAAGAAACGAGTTGAAATAGAACCGAATTGGACCAGAACCGAGCCGCTGCTGTTCAGCAGAGCTATTAAGTAAAATTTAGTAACTACATATAAAGTACTGTACGTACGTTGTTAAAATGATGTAGGTTTAAGAGTTTAGAACATTGCAAGAGTGTGGGAAGGGTTTCTAAAGCCTTAATATATAAATACTAAAATAAACCAATACTTACTACTACTACAGTAAATACTAAAATAAACTAATACTACTAATAATAATAATAATAGGGGAGTGGTGGCGCAGAGGTTAGAGAAGGTGGGCCTGTGATCGGAAGCTCGCTGGTTCAAGCCCTGGTACCGACATCATCAAAAATGTGGGTGGGGTAGATGAAGCACTCACACCTGCCTCCACCCTCATTCGCCCCACTCCGAGCCCATGAGCAAGGCCCTTAACCCCCATGTGCTCCCTAAACAGGTCTCTCTTGAAAACGAGTTCTCGTGGCTCAATGTCACTGCCTGTATAAATAAAGGCTAAATGAAAAAAAAATACTACGTTTCGGTTTTTCACTTATCGGGGGGTCCCTAACACCCACGATAAATGAGGGACTACTGTAGGCATCATTTGGCAGCAAAATGAAGAAATGTTTGGTATGAACATCTTTCAGTGAAGGGGATCCATTAAACATGGGTAATGTTAGCCACATGCTAGTTAGCATGTTTGACATTGATCACTTTTATTAATGATGGATAAATGTGTTTGGTTACAAATTTTGGTATCTGTTGTATTAGGAATATCTCTTAAAACTACAGTTTGTCAGGCTGAATTTAATTATTTGATCTGAAAAACATGCAACATTAGTCATACCCGTGACTGAGGAAACAAAAGAGCTACGGGGCTAAACAGAAACAACAGAAGTGAGGGGTGAAATGGGATTAGGCATAAAATCAGGTTAAATAATTTCTCTTTGGCAGTGAGACAAATTAAATTCTCATTTATCAGATGGATATTCCGTACGTACCAATTCAAATGATTTGGTTATGACTCAGTCAAATACATAATGCGTCATTAAGCATAAACCCTTGAGCTCTGTTTACAAATAAACATGTTGCATGAACAGACACACAGAAGACCTCAGCTCAGGCTTCCCGTCAGATTCTGTGCGGGGTAGTGCATGTTAGTGCACGAGCGTACCTTGCAGCCCTCACAGGTAATGCAGCGGTAGTGGTACCCAGTGGCCTTGTCGCCACACACCACACATGGCTCATCCTTTTCGAGGTAGCTGGGGATGTACCCTGGGACGAACACAAGAGCAAAAACAACGTGCATTAGAAGAAGTCAAGTTATTTAAAAAAAACAACTTTATGTGTAATTCAATAAAGATAATAGTAAACTATTAAGGGAATTCAGTTTTTTTTAAATATCAGAAACACATAACTGACTCCAGCATCCCTGTTCACTGAATCAGTTACCGTGGTAACCAAAGCCTTTTCTCCATCTCCTCGCCTCCTGCTGAGCCTGAAGCAGCTTTTAAGCCATATTGTCTTGTTTGCTTCTTTATACAGTTGGAACTAAAGCACGTGCACTTCAACAATCGTTGTTTGTGGACTTGTTTAGAAAAGTCAGCTTGAAGTTTTGTCAGTTTGTCAGGAAAAAGAAATAATAAAAAAAATCAGCTGAGCAGTGACATTTTCTCAACTGTAAACCACTAGAGTCAGTACAGAGTAGTCCCTCGTTTATTGTGGGGGATCCATACGCTGAAGCCCCGCAATACGTGAAAAACCACAAAGTAGGAATAGTAGTACAAGTAGTAAGTAGTAGGTTATTTTAGTATTTATATATATGTGTATATATAGATAATAAAGCATTTAAAACCCTTCCCACACTCTTGCAATATTCTAATGTTTCTAAACTCTAAACGCTCTAAAAGAGCACAGAACATCATGATTTCAGCTCCCTGCCTCCGCTGCTCTCAGCCACCTGCAAGCGCTCATGGCCACGCCCACTTCTCTGCTCTGCACGGCGAACAGCTGATCAGCTGCAGCAGGAAGTGTATCCTGCAGTGTGGGCTGCACAAATGTGCAGCAGGTGCTAAATAATTAAAAATTGTTTATTTTAAATAAAAATTTGTGCGGCTCATCCATCAATCAGCCATGTGTCATGTCCAATCTTATTTTGAAAAACCACGATAGAGCGAGTCCACGATAAACGAACCGCGAAGTAGCGAGGGACTACAGTAGCTGGGTTAGAATAAGACGTCATTTTACAACGCAAGTCTTTTTGAGTCCATATTTTCATCCTCTGCAGCAGCAATCTGGACTTGGTCAGGTGATTAATATTTTAAACATGTGATGTACACCGGAGATGTTTCAGCTTTGAAACAACAGGCCGATGTCCCGTTTGTGATTTGAATTGTGAATATTTGTAGTTTTTGAGTAAAGTTTTTTTTGTTGTTGTTTTTGCTTGTCCCATGCAGCACAGAGCGAAGGATCCTGGCAAATGGAGGGAGACATTTTATACACCGCCAGGCACAGTCGGGGACCCAGGGGGTGGCCAGTGGTGGTCTTGGCCACCATAGATTTTATTTTTAGCCACCCCAATCATTTGAGGAAACTAAACTTGCTAAAACAAAACTATGCCTATCTGCAGCCACACACCAAAATGGACGTCTGTATCTCTCTTAGTTGTCATGCTCACAACGTGCACGGATGGACAGAGTGTATTTCCAATTCCCCCTTTTTGCTCCACGACACGAGAAACTAATAAAAAAGACAAAGTAGACATCAAAGAGTAAACTGTCATAGTGTCAACGTTTAGGACTTGTTTGAAGATAAATGTGTTCTGTGTTGGATCAGTGCTTAAAACAGATGTTAAATATTAGAGTTCAAAGTGTGATGGATTAGCCACACTTCTGACTTCCTGCCATTGAAACCAACACACTCTGATGTATTTAACCCACTGTAAGAAAAGCAACTGAAGATATCAGCTTATAGACACGCAGCTGTTAGAGACACTTCTGCTGTGGTTTAAACTCCTCTCTTCCTGCAGCGACGCTCCCAACATCAGTGCACGGTAACATTACAGCCGGGCGTGGCAAGGCCGACGCTCACATCCAACCAACGCACATCTGTAAGGCTGACTGGGGTCAGTGGGAGAAATAACTGGATTTATCTTGGAGGTTGGTTGTTTTTTTTTAATGCAAATCTTAAATAAAGTGTAGAGAGGCAGAGAAAACACTTAAATTACACTCAGAATCAGAAAAGAGACGGCACGGTGGTGAAGTGGTTAGAGCTGGTGCCTCACAATGAGGTTGCAAGATTGTGAAGTTTGCATAATCCTGAGGTTGCAAGTTTGAGCCCAGATTGTGTCAGGAAGAGCTTCTGGCGTAAAACAAATTGCCAAATCTTTCATGTGAGTTCACCCACTGTGGCGACCCCTGAGGGGAGCAGCCGAAAAAACTTACTTCTCTATCTAAAGAACTATCTCCAACAGGTAAGATATTGTTTAGCTATTTTGCTACTTTTAGCTTTTATTTATTCTTTTGTTGCTTTTAACTTCTAGCTAGATGTCTTCTACTTTTAACCGTTAGCCTCACTTTAGCTTTTTTAGTTAGTAGTTTTTGTTGTAGTTTTGGCACAGTGACTGTTTGTTTGAGGCTTACTTTTCAGGCTTTCTGTCTGCCTGTCTTTATCTTGGCAGTCAGGGAGAGAGAAAGACAGGTGTGTGGTTACCAAGGTGACCACAAAGAGCCTCAGGCAGCAGCTTGGATGTGTTAGCTCTTCTTAAACAGCCTGTGGGTCAAAATGTGGACTCAAAATATCGACTGCTTTTTTCTTGGCATCTTCAGAGTCGTTCCAGTTTAATCTGTGTTTTATTGAGTCCAGTTTAATCTGTTAATCTGGGTTTTACTGTCCAGTTTAATCTGTGTTTTATTGAGTCCAGTTTAATCCGTTAAACTGTGTTTTATTGAGTACATTTTAATATGTTAATCTGTGTTTTATTGAGTCCAGTTTAATCTGTTAATCTGTGTTTTATTGTCCAGTTTAATCTGTGAAACTGTGTTTTATTGAGTCCAGTTTAATCTGTTAATTTGTGTTTTATTGAGTCCAGTTTAATCTGTTAATCTGGTTTTATTGAGTCCAGTTTAATCTGTTAAACTGTGTTTTATTGAGTCCAGTTTAATCTGTTAATTTGTGTTTTATTGTCCAGTTTAATCTGTGTTTTATTGAGTCCAGTTTAATCTGTTAATTTGTGTTTTATTGTCCAGTTTAATCTGTGTTTTATTGAGTCCAGTTTAATCTGTTAATCTGTGTTTTTATTGAGTCCAGTTTAATCTGTTAAACAGTGTTTTACTGAGTCTAGTTTATTATGTTAATTTGTGTTTTATTGAGTCCAGATTAACCTGTCAATATGTGTTTTATTGTCCAGTTTAATCTGTTAATCTGTGTCCATGGGGATTCCTGCCTGACCTCATCCTTATAATCTGATTTAAACTGTCCTGAAACGCTCCGGTTGTTTCAAAACACTGAACTTGTGTCAGGACGTCAGCTCGCTCGGTGTGATCGTCTTCTTTTTACTCCCTGCAGGATTTACTCTACAGAGAACTTCAGTTTGCTTGTCTTCATCCAGCCTGTAAGACCCGTGAGACGGAGCAGATTTACTTCAGGAAAACGTAGCTGAGAAGCTGCGGGGGGGGGGGGGGGGGGGGGGGGTGAAGACAGTCTGCTGCAAGACGCAGGTAAATTCTGCGGGGGTGTTCGAGTGCCAACATGTACAAACGGAACAACCTGCACATGCATATTTAACTATACCGGAGCCTCCCGGTGCAAAGTTTTAGTCCATTTTGATACTGATTGGTAAATTTCACACATTTTAATTTAATCACCATCAATTAAAAACTTGGAAACGCACACAGGATGAACAAAAGGAGCAGCGACTGCAGCAGCAGACTACCAATCTCACAAAGACTCAGATTACAACAGAACAAACAATAAATCAATAAAAACACAAAATCTGCTGAAATAAAGTTCTCCACCAGTTTGGGAGCGTTTGTTCACATGGCAGCAGCAGCAGTGAGGGTCTGCAGAAAAACTTGTAGCTTTTATTTATTTATTTTTCCGTTTATACACATATTCTCAACGGAAGACGAGTATAAAATAATTTGCCAAAGCATCTTCAGAAGATAAATCAGATTAAACGGCTGTAAACTGAGTCTGGATCGAGGCGTGGTGGGAGCTGGGACTGGTGGTGTCAGATGAGCTCTGCTGTTTGGCTTCGGTACAGATTTTAGAGGAAGAGGAGGAGGACGATGGGAAACAGAGAAAAGATGAGACACAAGGGCACGCGCAGCATTATATTAACGCCACCGAGGAGCCGTCGAGCAGACGCCCATGAAACATGAACGAGAATTAAAACAAAAGCAGGACAACGTTTCAAAATAAAAGTCTGAAAGGCTCAGAGAGATGTCCGTTCCTCTGCTGGCAGGGCGAGCAGAGCCGTGGGCGGATCCCCGAGCCGCTTCGCTGTGGCTTCGTTTGGAAGCCAAGCCCAAAATCAATACTGCGGCAGCTCCCCGCCCCTCCCTCCCCAAACAGGCCCCGCAAAAACTCCACCAAAACACAAAGAACAGGAAAGTGGCAGAGCTGACAGCGTGCGAGTCGGGACGGGGCCGATCAGGTTCCGAAGGAGTCCCAGACTCCGACCGTGGCGACAGCGCAGTGATCTGATGTGCGAGACGCTCGACGCCACAGAAAATCAAGTTGAGCTTTTTAAATTAAATAGTGGTCTTCACCGTCCTCACGTGGGGTTGCTGCAGCACACACACTGAAAACTGCTGGCTTGAAAAGGCTGAGTCGACTTTGGACCAAGCAAACCCTGGGAAGTTTGAACGAAGAAGGGGTTGGTTAGTTTTTTAACGCTAAATTGGGTTAAAACGATCAATTTGCTGTATTAAAAAGAGCAACTCAAAATCTGATTCTTCTTCTTCCTCCTTTTTTTTTGGTGTTTCCCTCTTCAGAAGACTTCAACGGGAGGGTGAAATGTCTCAGCACAAAAAAAAGAAACTGTCCAGATGACCTGACTGAACATTGTTGGATTTTAAACCTGGATTATCGAGCATGGACTTTGATGGTCTCTTCAGGTGTCACCACATTGAGTCGTCCTCCGTCTCACTCTGTCCACACCCCAACTACTTCCATGTCCTCTCTAACTGCATCCATATATCTCCTCTTTGTCTTTTTCCTGGCAGCTGTACTTCTAACATCTATTTACCAATATATCCACTGTCCCTCCTCTGGACATGTCCAAACCATCTCAGTCTGGTCTCTCTAACTTTGTCTCCCAGTTGGTCAACCTGTGCTGTACCTCTGATGATCTCATTCCTGATCTTATCCATCCTTGTCACTCCTAAGGAGAACCTCAACATCTTCATTTCTGCCACTTCCAGTTCAGTCTCCTGTCTTTTTGTCCATGTCTCTGTCTCCAGACCATACAACATAGCTGGTCTCACCACCGTCTAGCCTCACTGTTCCACCGGCCTCCCTCTCATTCACACACATGTACTCTGTCTTACTACGGCTGACGTTAATTCCTCTTCTTTCAAGTGCATACCTCCACCTCTCCAAGTTCTCTTCCACCTGTTCTCACCACAGATCACAATGTCATTGGCAAACATCATAGTCCATGGGGATTCCTGCCTGACCTCATCTGTTAATCAGTCCCTTATTTAAAAAAGAACCCCAACAACTTTAAACAATCACTTAAATTAATCACTTTAATTTACACTTTAAAGCTAGAAATAAAAAGAAACATGTTTTGTGTTAGCAGAATTTAATGCTAACTTTAAAACTTATCCAACATTAGTAAAACTTCCCTCAAGTTGCCTATTTGGACATGCATGCATAGATTTGTACAAATTGTACTTGAGAGGAGATCATTACAGCCTCATATAAAATCAATGATGATGATATCGATAATTAAGCACTGTTTATATGTATCGGATCGGTATCGGCAGATACAGGACCGGTAGATATCGGTATTGGATCGGAAGGGGCGAAATAAATAAATAAAAATAAAAATAATAATGATAATTTAAAAAAAAGTGGATCGGTGCATCCCTAGTTTTTTCATGATGTCGGCTTGTTAGCTTAGCTCGTAGCTTAGCTTCTCAGCTTAGTTGCTTTTAATGATCCAAAAACACGATTTTGGATGTTTAAAACAGATTTTAAAGAGAAAAGAGAAAGGGAGGGGTCAGCGAAGAGCACCAGAGTTGAGCTTTTTGTCATCGAGTGTCTTCAGTAGAAAGAGAGAGACACGAAGAAATTCATTCAACCTTTATTTAGACAGAGCCGATAATTGAAAACGAGGTTGATAATTTTCATTCATCATGCCGTTAACTGATTTATTGTTTATCACAACAGGCCGATCAAATACTGCAGTGAAATAATTGCCAAGAAATAAAGAATAGTGCTATAATTTACAGTTTTTACTCAAAAAGCATCAATGTCATTGGTAGTCGAGCTCAACGTGCCTTCAATGAATCTTTAACCCAGTTGTGGCACATACACTGAAGGATTGTGTGATTCATCTAAAGAAGCTGTTTCCTCAGTCGGGGTCTGGACCCCAACACAACCCTTATTTAATGGCTTGTTAGCAATGTTTGTACACTTCAGTTAGTAATAGCTGGTGCCACAATTCTCTACTGCTGACGCTTGTGTGTGTCCAAACCTAAAAAGTTTGGATAGCACTGCTCCGTAATACAAGTGGTCTAAACATTGTGGATGTATCGTCATCTGCTTTGGTTTCACGGCATGAATTTGAAGCATCAACACACTCAAAGTAAAAGTATGGCATCATTATACTGTGTATGTATATAATCCAACTTCAGACAGCTGTCCCCCCCCCAAGATTGACACTTTCTCATCCTGTCCCAGTTCAAATCAACCTTTGCAGGGAGAATGTTGTGGAATTCCACGTGGTCGGCTCACAAGTCTCCTGGCAGAGAAATAAAACGCCATCGTGTGCTATATGTCCCTTAATTAGCTTCTCTGTGTTCAATTTTTATGTTCCTGCAACCGCATCTTTCTCAAACTCCGTATCTTCCCTCGTTTGTTTTTCTCCTCAGCCGTGGGGATTTGGAGCCGTCTCTTCCACAATAAACAGCATCCGACACCAAAGCAGACAAACCAGAGAGCTTTTGTTTACTGATAACCGACGCCGAGATGTTTATTTCTTTTCCTCTTTGGAAGCACATGTACACAAAGCAGCATTAAAATATCTACCAATCAACCTGCGTGCAATCAGCTTCGGTCCACCGTGAAACGCCGGGCAGCTTTTCTAAAGACGTTCTGAGGATCTAAAAATACATCAATCAGGGGTCCTCTGCAAAATACTCCAAAAGCAATTTTCAAAATGAATAGTTTCTTACAAGCGGAGAGCTTTTGTCCTCTGATGTTGAGGTCTGTAGACCTTCAGAAGTTTAGCCTTCAGAGGCAGTTCAGAGAAAAAAAACATGTTTTTCTAAGCAGCCACTTCAGAGCTGCTGTTTTTAGTCATTTCAGCTGATCAAAAGACAACTGAGCGAATACTCACCAGTCATACTCTTCACCGAACATTGGCTATTCTTCCTCTTCCTCTTAGGGCCATTGAGCCACCTACAGAGAAATAAAAAGGAAAAGAAAATGTAAATACCAGTAAACGTTTCTTCATAGGTTATTATCTTTCCAGAATGAGGCGTTCCCTGTTGAGACGACCTGAAGTGACCTCGCAGTTGAACTTCACATTCAGGTACTTGTGTTTTGTTCATTCTTCCAAGGAGAACGGTAAGAGCTGTTTAGTGGTGAGAATTCAGGACCGGTTACAGCTGGTGGTTCAACGCCACGGCTTATCAATGCCAGGTATAACAGTGAAGGCCCTTTAGCTTCTGAGAAGATTGATTCAGGACAGAGCGGTTGCCCTCAGATCAACAACTGGCGTTCCCGTCACCAGCGATCAAGTCCATTCAATATAATCTCCCACCAAAAACACAATAAGCAACTCTAACAAACGTAAAAATGCCAATAAGGAATTTATTATTTTACAGGTATTTAGCTAAAATGTGGCGCAGTAGTATCTGAGAGGGATCCCAACACGTTGCTTATCTTAGTTTGGTCCATTTTGTTCAACAGCAAAGAAATTGAGAAAGTTCCTGGAGAAACTTTGACGAGAACTGCCAAGTTACGGCCATTTTAAACGTTACATTTGACAGTACTGTGTGTTGGCACTCGGCTTCCACCAGTGTTTCCCCGACGTAACATGCCTTGGCATGATTTTTGTTGGGGGGTGCGGGAGAAATTGTCTCAGATCAGCATGAGGGAAGCTCTGCTAGCTTTGAGCTAGCATGTCTGTATGTCAGTGTTGGCAGTTATGGGGGGGGGGCTCAGCTTTGCTGACTGGGTGGGCCGCCCTCTTTGTATGATGGTAGGAGAAACACTGACCATCCCACTAAACTTCAGCTCAATATGGCAAAACATCAATGAGTTATAGCTATTTTTTTCTTTTAAGCTATGGTAGCCATCTTGAATTTTTTATTTGGATTCGGGATGTGATGGGGAACATTTTTAGCTATAACCTCACCACATTTCAGCTCTACATGTGTAAAAATAGCTGAGTTAAAGCCATTGAAACGCAGCTTTGGTGGCCATCTTGGACATTAAAATTCAGTATTTATTCGGCATAGCTTTCAGCTGCTACCACTCCAAATTTCAGCTTATTATCTCTAAAAAAAAGGCTGCTTTATAGTATTTTATTATTTTTTTTAGCTCAGGCAGCCATCTTTGATTTTAGATTTGCAATCAAGGATTCAAGGAATTTTTATTGTCCTTCCAGCTCACATTTGCATGTTTGTGGTACAAAATTCAGACTCAGGTCCCAGATCAAGAAGTCTAACAATTAACAAATAAATAAATACAAAAGAGTACACACACACACACACACACACATATATATATATATATATATATATATATATATATATATATATATATTTAGCTGCAGGGAAGAAACTGTTTCTGAGCCTGCTGGTCTTGCTCTGAATGCTCCTCAGCCGCCTGCTTGAGGGGAGGGGCTGGAACAGACTGTGTGCAGGATGAGTGGAGTCCTTCATGATGCGGAGCGCCCTCCCCCCTGCATTGTGAAGTGTAGAGGTCTGAGGTGTAATACATAACTCTGTAATCAGAGTCTATTAGGGATTGTTCTCAGTTACCAATACACCAAATTTCAGCCGAATAGCTCTAAAACTCCGAGTTATATCTATTTGAAATTAGCTTTGGAGGCCATCTTGAATTTTTAGATTTGATTTTAGATTCTCATTATTTTTAAATAGCTGCGTTATCATATTTTTCCCTTTTAGCTGTGGCAGCCATCTTGTATATTTGATTTGCATCAGGAATGTATAACGACTCGCTCTCAGCTACAACCATTCCAAATTTCAGTGCATTATTTCAAAGAATGACTGAGTTATGAGCAAAAGCCTTTTCAGGAGGATAATAATAAGTGGCTGTCTTTCTGCAGTCCTCAACAAGCATTCTGCAAACGCCACATTATACTCCCATTAACAAACTATTATACAGCAATCTATAGCAACGGCTTGGACAAGCAAAAACCTTGTATAACATTTGACCTTGATTTTTGACCTTGACCTTGGAGCTGGGGTGATAAAATGTGAAAACCACACTCTGTCTACTGATGGTGCACAAGTTTGTGAAGTATAATTAAATTATGTTGAGCCGATCTGAAGTTATAATCTGGAAAACAGAAACTTTAAGTCCTTTTGGACGAAGACTCGTCCATAATCTGTTTGTCTTTCGAACAATAAAAAATAAAACTCTGCAGGAAACACACGAACGAGTTTCAAACAGCACTCCGATTACACAACCCCCCAGCACGATGACAACGATGGGAAGAAAAGAGCGCGCAGACTCATTCATATCTCAGATCTGCAGCAGAAACACACACCTGGCAGGAAACCAGAGGAAGCAGAAAGGCATGCTGGGAATGACGGCCTCAGAGCAGAGTGGCGAAGGACAGGAGGAGACGGAGAGGAGGCGAGGACAGGATCAGTGAGGGAGGTGTTTACGGTTCTGGATCTAAGGCTGAACTGCAGTGGAGGTGGGACTCCAGCGGCACCACAGGTACAAGATCCACCAGTGGGGTCAGCTGGTCCCAGTATGCGGCTCTGTGGGACGTTTACTCAAAAGATGGGACGACGTCTGACTTGTGATTGGTGCAGAACTCATGGTGAGCCAGAACCACAGCTTCAGTTACGATGTTGTCTCTGAGCAGAAAGCACGTTTTCTATTTTTACTGCAACATAAAAAAATGAACGTTTGTTTGTTTAATTTATTTATGTGTTTGCATCTTTGCGTAAATCAACAACATCAGGACGTCTGGATGAATTCTTACAAGATGCAGAACCAAGTCGAGTTTTTAGATGTTTTTTTTATGTTGCAGCTTAAAATGTTACAGAGATAAATCTTAAATTTGTCAAATTAAATCAATTAAGTTTACTAATTTTTTAAATTTTAATAATTCAAAATAATATAGAAAAATTCTTAAACTTCACAAATCAATACCGGTAAGTATAGCAACTTAAAAAACACAAACATAAATAAATAAATAAATAAATAGTTAAATGGTAGATTGATGAACAAACTAGCAAATAAACAATTAAATACATTTGTAAACAAATGATAGATTGATGCATAAACAAATAAACCAGCTGATATACAAACAAAATAATTGAAATAAATAAATTAATTCACTTTCAGTCTGTGTAACAAACAAATAGGTCAGTGAACAGTGAATGAATAAATAGTAAATAAAGAAGTTAACAAACAAGCAAGCAAATAGGCAACTAAACTGTAGGGATTAAGTTTAATAAATTAATGGTAGAATAATTACTATATAAATAAATAAATGAGTTAACAAACAAGCAAGTAAATAAATGGTAAATAAATAAATACACAAATAAACAACTAAATAAATAAATAGTTAGTTTCAATAGTAGACTGTGTATTAAACAAATAGGTAAATAAATAAATAAGTTAACAAACACGCAAGCAAATAGGCAACTCAACTGTAGGGAAAAAGTTAAATAAATTAATGGTAGAATAATAAATACATAAATAAATAAGCTAACAAACAAACAAACAAGTAAATAAATAAAATAAAACAAACAAAAATAAAACAAATAAATAAATAGTCAGTTTCAATAGTAGTCTATGTAAGAAACAAATAGGTCAATGAATAGTGAATGAATAATTAAGTAAATAAATGGTAAATAAATAAATACACAAATAAATAACTAAATAAATAAATAGTTAGTTTCAATAGTAGACTGTGTATTAAACAAATAGGTAAATAAATAAAAAAGTTAACAAACAAGCAAGCAAATAGGCAACTCAACTGTAGGGAATAAGTTTAATAAATAAATGGTAGAATAATAAATACATAAATAAATGAGCTAACAAACAAGTAAATAAATAAAATAAAACAAACAAAAATAAAACAAATAAATAAATAGTCAGTTTCAATAGTAGTCTGTGTAAGAAACAAATAGGTCAATGAATAGTGAATGAATAATTAAGTAAATAAATAGAAAAATAAATAAATAAAGTTAGTTTCAATAGTAGACTGTGTATTAAACAAATAGGTAAATAAATAGTAATTAAATAAATAAATAAATAAATAAATAAGCTAACGAACAAGCAAGCAAATAGACAACTCAACTGTAGGGAAAAAGTTCAATAAATTAATGGTAGAATAATAAATACATAAATAAATGAGCTAACAAAAAAAACAAGTAAATAAATAAATTCAGGTGCCTTTATTTCTTTCATTTTTTAATACATTTTTTCTTCTTAAATTAATAACACAAATTAATTATTTTTCTATTTTTGGTTATAGCAAACTAATTTCTGTTTTACAAAGCGACACAACAACAAAGTTCTCCACTAAAAATCTCCCGAAGTTGAAAACATTTTTGACCCAAAGCTTTCCAGCTGAATGAAGCGAACATAGTTTAGAGATAAGACGCTAACCGCCATCTTTGCTCCTCGTGAAGATGGAGAACGTCGCGCCGTGTCTCCTCGGTGCGTCGGCGTGAACCCAGGCTTCACACAGCAGGTTTCTACATTTCACATCAGCTGCACGGCCCCGAGGGAAACACAACTATTTAACTGCCTGTTAAGTTCACAAGTTGCTGTAATTGAGCCCTAATGCCAACTTAAACTGCCCTTCCCGTGTAACTCCACCTTTAATTACAGCGGCGGCGTGTTCCTGGTTATGGCTCCCTTTGCTCCTTTCACAATCCATACGACAGACTGACACCGAACTCTTTAAGGTGCAGCTTGATTTACTGCGATTGTTGTGCTCGCAGCATCTTAATAATAATAACAACAACAACAACAATGGTCCTGTCTCTGTGGGACACGAGAGGAGAAACGTGTCATCACTTCTTCACAAACACCAGCAAATACCCAATTTTCCAGTTCTTTAAACTTGCTGGAAACATTTTATAGACTACGAGGCTTGGACTGGTAATAAAAGCTGTCACTGCTGTAAAAAGTGAAGGTGAAGTTTTCACTGACTGCCACTTAAAGAGCCTAATATCTCC